TTTTTAGTCCTTTTTGAATTGATAACCTTATACCCACTACAAGGTCTTGCTCTATAAAAGCAATAATTCACACCAATAGCATCTTCCCGTGGATTCCAGCAACAATTCAATTTATTTTCACATTCATCCTGTTGTATTCCAAGGTATCCACAATCCACTCTCGTAGAAGGATCAACATTACACGTATATTCAGGACCTTTTTTGTAAAAACACCAACTATCATTTGAAGGTTTCCAACAGCAAAAACGCGCTTCACATTTTTCTTTCGTTATACCAAAGTATCCGCAATCTTTGGATGGATCAGATAAACTGCAAGTATCAGTCTGGATGTCACTATATCCCGAAATTGAAGTTTCATTGAATGTTATTTGTAATAAAGACTTTATTCGCGTAAATGCTCCATCCTTAAAGATAGGCAACCATAACCAAACGTATATAAGTGGTGATTTGGAACTGAGGGAGGAGGGATGCGGTAACTATGGGCCAGACCTTGAAAGACTTAAATTCTTTGTTGAGGTATGGTTTCTTTTTGATATTATTCATTATGCGAGTTAGTTATCAATTAAATTTAAATTATTGATTGATACATTGATTTTCAGCACCAAACTGCGAATCGACTACATTTAAAAATATTTGATCCAACAAAATCAAGATATGAGATCCCTGAAGACATTGTTCCAATTTCGTCAATCGAGCCAGTCCAAACAATCCAAAGCGATTCTCTTTATCAATTCTCATATAAAACCGATCCGTTTACATTTTCGGTAGTACGCACCTCAAATCAGGAACAAATAATAAATACTGATGTATCTGGAGTGGATTCACTTGTGTTCGAAGACCAATATTTAGAAATAACATTCGAAGTATGTTGCCTGCAATTAATAGTTTCATTATATACGCAGCTTAACAGAATTAGTTTATCTATTACTTTACAATTTTACAATAGCTACCAGATGATCCTAATATATTTGGTCTCGGTGAAGTAGTTCGGCCTTTGCGAAGGGATCCACGTGGTACTTTCCAAACATTATGGGTATCTTACCTATTAATTTGTTCTATTCATTTTACCCATATTCGTTAACTAACTTCTTTGCTACAAAGAATAGAGACGCTGCAACACCTACTGACGAAAACGGTAATAATAGTTTTTTGCATTTTGTATATACACATTTACGCGTTGCTAAGCATCTTTTCTTTGAGTATAGTATACGGTGACCAACCATTTTATATGGAAATACGAAATGGCACTGCGCATGGCGTGGTAAGAATTGAATCGCTGCCTTATTTACTACGTGAATTATTCCAAGATTATAATAATACATTATTAATATATTATTTTTCTTTTATATACTTTAAAAAAAATTAGTTTTTACGAAATTCTAACGGAATGGATGTGACAATCATTCCAGGGAATCCTCCTAAATTGACTTGGAAAGGTAATTATTTTTACTTTATATTCACCGAGTATAATAGTATTAAATTGCATATATTCTAATATTTAGTGATTGGAGGTGTGTTCGATTTTTACTTCTTTCTTGGTCCAACTCCTGCAGATGTGATCGCACAATATACAGAGGTAATTTATTTTAATGTTATTTAAATGAATAATGAATATTTAAATTGACGCCTCAACTTTATAACACACCTTTATAAGCTGGTAGGAAGACCTGCATTACCACCGTATTGGGCTCTCGGCTATCATCAATGTCGATGGGGATATCACAATGTATGTCGTAATCAGTATCTGTGATGACTGCAAAGATGTTATATTTCTGAAATTTTCAATAATACTCAGGTATCAACCCTCTATAATGTTGTTTCTGAATTCCGCAATCACAAAATTCCTCTTGAAACAATTTGGAACGACTTGGATTACATGGAAGGATTTAAAGATTTTACTTGGAATTCCATAAATTATCCACGTGAAGAAATTGCCAAATTTGTAAATATATTACATGAGAATGATCAACATTATGTGGTCATAGTTGATCCTGGTATAAAAATTGAGCATGGATATTGGGCATATGATGAGGGTGTCAAGAGAGACATTTTTATTAAAAATGCAAGAGGAGAAAATATAGTCGGTCAAGTTTGGCCTGGTTTGGATAATGATTTTTTGTATTCGTGCTTTAATTATATGAATTTCTATGCGTTTCAGCTTACTAACAAACTTGTCTATCATATAGGATTGACTAATTTTCCTGATTGGTTTAACAAAGATACCGAAAAATATTGGGGTGATGCTATCGAGAAGTGGTTATATAATGTTGATGTTGACGGGTAAGATAGACATGTTTCTTTAGTTTAATAACTTTCAATATGTTGCTGAAAAAAAAAATTAATTATTTTTATATTCTGTAGATTATGGATCGATATGAATGAGCCGGCAAGTTGGTGCAGAGGCGAATGCACAGATGTCAACATTGTAGAACAAATTTTGCCTTATGGTCAAGCAAATGATCAGGAAATTAATAATATTTTGAATAACGGACCTGGCTCAATTACTTCCCCGGCTACTATAATGTATAATTCGAATCTAAATGATCCACCATATAGGATAGACAATGGTGGTGCGAGATTACCATTAGATTCACTTACGTTATCTATGGATGCACGACACGCAAATGGATTTCTAGAATATGATGTACATAATTTGTATGGGCATATGGAAGCGATGACAACATGGAAAGTATGGACTAAAAGGTTTGGAAAAGGAAAGAGACCGTTTATTATCACAAGATCAACTTTTGCTGGTACAGGAAAATATGCAGGACATTGGACAGGTTAGATTATTATAGTAGTTATACGCGTGTGATGCCGAGAGAAAACATATTAGAGTTAATACCTGAATCCGGATTTAATAACTAAACCCGGATTTAATAATTAAAAATCTGGATTTAACTAGTTTGCACATTATGTGATTGGTTACGTTGACAAGGATTTACAGATTTATTGCAACTCAACTCATACATATGTATTAATATAAATCCGAATTCGGGTATTAATTCTAAAACCTATAGTTACTTGGAAATCCACCAAGAATTAAATGGTACTATTAAAAAGACACATAAGGCTAAATCCGATGTATAATAATGCAAACTATGAGTTTTCTCTTGACGTTATCAATTTTTATCGTTAAAAACTGATTGTAATATTTATACCTATATATATTTTTAGGTGATAATTCAGCAGGGGTAGGTCTAACATTTTCGGTAGTATATATGGCATTTTTGCGATCTTCAACATTGTAATGGTTTTATTGTTTTATATAGTGGGATGATTTATACTTGTCAATACCTGGTATTCTGAATTTTCAAGTGAGTATAAATATGTAAAAGTTAATGTTATTAATATGTTGCCTAACTCCAATAAAAATATACACAGATATTTGGTATACCTTTGGTTGGCGCGGATATATGTGGGTTTAATGGTCGTACTACCGAAGAGCTATGTCTTAGATGGATACAACTTGGATCATTTTATCCTTTCATGAGGTAACTAGTTGTTTGTTAAACAACAATTTGATTACATGACAATAATTCAATGTAAATTTTTTATCGCTAACGTTACTTAAATCGTTCAATAGGAATCATAATGCATTATTAGAAAGCTCTCAAGAACCATATATTTGGCCATCAGTAGCTGCAACATCTCGCAGATACCTACGTATTCGATACTCACTTCTTCCATACTACTATACACTCTTCTATGAATCCCACACATATGGTTCCATGGTCCTACGACCTCTGTTCGTTGAATATCCGCATATTAAGTCAGCGTTAGTAGTTGATAAGCAATTTATGCTTGGAGGAGGAATATTAGTTTCACCTGTATTGTTACCACAAAAGTTTGAAGTGAAAGATGCTTACGTACCGCCTGGAATATGGTATAACTTTTATTCACACAACATAAGTTTTGAAGTTCATGATAATTCAGGCATATACTCTGATATCAAAGCACCTTTGAATGAGATGCCAATACATTTAAGAGGCGGGCATATTATACCAATGCAACGCCCCAGAATGACTACAGCACAAAGTAGAAAGACGAATTATTATCTGACAATTTCATTGGATGAGAATAAAAGTGCCAAAGGAACTTTGTATTTTGATGATGGTGAAAGTTTAGATGTCAAAGGCAAATATACTTACATCTCATATACAGTATATAATCAAAGTACTTTAGTTGCAGATGTTAATTGGTGTGGATACGATGATGGTATTATACTAGATAAAATCATAATTCTAGGAATTAATAGGGTTGCAAGTGCAAAAGATGACGGAATCGTTTTAAAGAGAAAAGTTAGCAGAGCTACACTGAATGGAATTGAATTTGAGATGAAAGAGGGTGAAAATAAGAACCTTTTTATTGATATTGGTGATGTAGATTATAGTGATAATGATATCGACACTAGTGATGGCAGTTTATGGGTAATTGATAATATGGGAACGTTAACTTTCTTTGGATTACAATTAAGTATGTGTCATGGATGGAATTTAACATGGGTTTTAGAATAATGATTTAGTCATAGTTAGCGACAATTAGGTCAGAAATGATAAAAAAAAAATAATTATATATTCAATGTATATTTCTATATGTTGTACCAACTGATTTTCGAATGGTAATTTTTTTTTTTTTTTTGCTATTAAAGTGGATTTTTGCTAATGTCTTTATTAATATACTGTATATTGTAACAATTAATATAAAATTTGCAAAATATTTAAATATATACTGTAGTACTGTGGTATATTTTATATTATATACAAGTCACTCTCGTTATAGTGAAGATCTTGGGCTGTGAAAATTTCTTCACTATATTGAGAGATTCACTATATTGAAAGCCTCTCGATATAGTGAAGATATTAATCAAATATATAAATATTCACTATATCGAGAGAAATAATAAAATACCCAAAAATCTATTACATATAAAGCTAATTTATTAGCTATTTTAACATTATTACATCTAATTATAATTATTCAATTACCAGTCGATGTCTTAAGCATTCTTTAAAATTGTAAGTAGAAGTTTGTCTGATTGGCTATATAAATCAATTAGCCAGGTAACTAATTTATACATTTTAAGAATCAAAGAAGTGCTAGAAAATTAGTGACGCCACGGCATATGCTACAATCACATTTGTAAGGCCGTAAAAGTTTAGAATTTATTACTGAATCTTTTTTTTTTTTGTTTTTTTTGTTTTTGTATGAAAATAAAGCACCTGGAAACTAAAATTTCATATTTTTATTTGTAAAAATTTGATTTAAAACATCTTACTCTAAAACCAAGCTGATGTTCTAAAATAATAAAATTTGAAAAAAATGAAATAAAAATTTGCATTTAACTACAAGAATCTGATCACATTTTGTCAAAAAAAAAGGTTGAAATTCATCCCTTCAAATAATAGAACATTGCTGTCTGATCAGTTTTTTTCAACCTTCTAATTTCGCTAAGTCAAAAAAAAAAAAATTTAAAAAAAAATTTTTTTTAAAAAAAAAATTTTAAAAAAAAAAAAATCAAAAAAAAAAAAAAATTTTTAAAAAAAAAGAATTTAAAAAAAAAATTTTTTTTAAAAAAAGAAAATTTTTTTTTAAAAAAAAAAAATTGAAAAAAATTCTAATTCGTGTTGCAAATAAATGTATTTAAGGTGGTTTGATGTTTGGAAGCAACATGTTTCAAATTTACTTTTTTTTCAATTTTTCTAAATCCTGAATAAAGAATCATCAATATTAAAGCTACTATCGGGCTATTGTTCAAGAAAGTTAGAATCTCACAGATAAATCTTAAGACTTCTGCAAGTGATATCAGTTTGCATTGACTTTCTTCTTCAGGTTCAATACAATCACAATTCTTGACAGCCTCAATTATTTCTTCATCGGTTGGCATTTCAGTGGTGATAAGGTTATTGTCAGCAATCACATATTCTTGTGTATCCATGAGTTGGTCGAGGGGCAATTGCATAATCAATTCCTGAATATCATCAGTAATATCAGGTTCATTGGCTTGGTTAAGTTCCTCATACAGAAATAATTTACTAAGAAAATCCTCTAGCAAAATGCCAGTCTTCCTCCAACAGTTATGGATCATTCCTAGAGTTAGAAAATCAGGTTAGCTAATTGAAACATTAATTTAAAATTTTATAAGATAGTAAAAGTGAAAGTATAAATCATTTTTTAAATACTTGAATAATGTAAATTATAGGTTCTGAAATTTTTTTTTATACAGCAATTTAATTCTAGTTTACTAATATCTTAATTAACTACAATGTTTAGTCAACTAGTTAGTTAGCTAAGCATAGTAGTTAACTATGCTTATTCTGATTCTTACTCGAAGTTACTTTTTTTTATGCAAAAGCAGTAAAGTCAATCGTATCTTTGATAGTAATCTCTTCAGGAGGGTCACCAGATTCTAAAAAAATATCAAATGCTTTTATACAATTCTCACAAAAAATTTTTTTATAATACGCCTATATAGGATAATTAATTTAGTAATTCTTAACAAAAATTATAAGTAAACTTAAATTAGCTCACTTTAAAACTCCAAATTATTCTAGCATCGTATGGTTGAAGATGTGCTGTTGTGTGTAAAGGAAAAAAATACAGTTTAACATATGTTGAGGTAAGCCTTCTTCAAGTGTATGAGTTGATGCACCATCTACTATGAGAAGAATTGAACAATAAGCAAGTTGCATTTGGTTATCTAAATGCTTAATGTAATTGGTAAAAATAGATGTTTGCATTCAAGAGGAACAATTCCAATAATAATATACAGGTAAGGTAGATTTATTAATATTTTTAAGAGCTTGAAGAGTTTTATATTTATGTATGAACAGAGGAGGAAGTTTGTGATTACCAGTTGAATTACATATAAGTAAGATAGTAACAAGATCTTTGGCATTTTTTTTTCTTTGCAACTGGGCCATTGAATAATGTTTTATCTAGTTCTATATGCCAATATAATGCAGTATTATTAGCATTATAAACATCCTCAGGTTTGTATTTTTTTATTAATTCTTGCAGCTCTCTGTGAAATCTGGGAAGATCCTCAAGAAGTGCACTTGCATTTTCACCTAAATGCTTGTATTCTTTTATATGATGTCGCTTTTTGAATTTTAAAAATCACCTATCAGAGGCGTTAAAGCCTGTTACTTCAAGCCCTTTCATGAGTTATGTTGCCTTATATTGAATTATTGCACCTGTAATTGTCTAGTGTGCACTATTTGCTCTTGATATCCAAAGTGCAAGTGCTTCTTCTAACAAAGGAAATTTTTTAGCTCTTTGTTGTTTCAAATCGGGCATTGTTCGAACTTAGATCAAGTGCCAACTACTTCTCTTTTTCACAAACAATACCTGAAATTGTTGCTTTGGCAACTCCAAACTGTTTAGCTAGTTTAACTTGACTAATGCCTTTTAGTTTTAGATAGCATATTTCAGCCTTCTGAGCACTGGTCAAACTTTTTCTTGTATCAGTTTTTTTTTCTTTACTATGTTTTTGCTTCTTTCTTCTCGACTCTTCAGAAGACCCTTCCATTATTGCCGTTACAAGTGAGTAAAAAAAAATTTTTATTTTAAAAAAAGAAAAAAAAGGGGGCATGTTTCTAAAATAAGGAATAGTACAATTTTGCTTACCAAAATGAGATTCAGTCAACAAGTTTTTACATAAGGACATAGTGTCTCTAGAACTGGAAGAAGACTGAATTTCATTGAGGTGTAAAAAAAATTAGAGGGCCAGCATTCAATTAGAGTGAATTAAAAAAAAATTTCTTTAGAAACAAAAAAAATTTGCCTCCACAAATTTAAACGCATTTGAATGATTTCATTTTATCTTTTTCTGTTCCAATACTATTGTTCTTTTTTTAAAAAAAAAATAAAAATAAAAATAAAAAAATCCATCTCTGCATTCAAACAATTTTACTTCATCTTTTCTGTTCCGATACCATTGTCCTTAGCTTTTTCTGTTCCAATAACATTGTTCTTTTTTTAAAAAAAAACCTGTCTCTGCATCCAAACGATTTTACTTCATCTTGTTCTGTTTCGATACCATTGTTCTTAGATAAAAATTTTAAATTTATAAAATTAGATGACCTTTGTCACCATCTTATTTTCTCCAGAACTCAAAATCTGGAGGTCAACGGTGAAAAAAGCAAGGTTAGCTACACGTAAATAAATCATGGCTTTATTGTCATTAACGTTATCTTTATGCATAGCAGCATGGGTATGACAACTGATCCGTTAATTTGATTGGTCAAGAATTATCACATGATAAAATCTTCGCTATAACGCGAGGTATTTTGTTATATCCGTTTACAAAAATCTTCACTATAGCTTATATCGAGAGTTTACTATTTAACTTCATTATATAGGGTGAAAATTTATTAATATTGATTCTGTCCTAAAAAAATTCTTCACTATAAGCCAATCTTCACTATATCGAGGGTTCACTATAACGAGAGTAACTTGTATTTATATAAATTAATTTAAATCTAATTTTGAGAATTTGTTCGAAATTTCGATTGTACTCATCGGTTTACTAATAT